TATATATATATATATTTTATAACAATATTCTATTTTTAATAATGAAGACAAAGGCCCGTATTCAGAATGCGCTTAGAACGATGTTAGCGCACTAACATATTATACATTACGCATATTATAGAATTTCAGAGATAATAACGCGCTTTTATCGATAAAAGCGTTTTGAATACGGGCCAGAATAATGCTATAGAATATATGTGTATGTTATAAAATAACATATAAATGAATACTGATTAATGTTTCCATACTACCATATTATCATTTATTTATATTATTATTTAGAGATCCGTTTTTCAATTCTAATCTTTATAGGTTCATCTATACATAATAGTATGTCCGAAAATAATTTGATTTTGTCTATCTCAATGCTTTGATTTAATTTAAATACGAACGTTCTTATCAGCGTTGCTAAAATAACTTTCATAGATATCATTGCGTATTTCAAACCTGCAAATTTCAATTCAATTATAAATATTTGCCAACTGTAAATCAATTTCACGATAATTTATAATTTATTCATACTTACCTATACAATTCCTTGGTCCGTCACTAAAAGGCATGTAATAATGTGGTATACAATTTGTTTCTTCTTGAAGAAATCTATCCGGATTAAACATCAATGGATTCGGCCAATATTTTTCATTCCGATGCATTCGTATAAATGATATAATAACATCTGCACCTTTCGGTAAAACAAATTCTCCTAAAACATATTTTTTAATATAATTTTTTGATATATTTAAACGTACATTTTTTTAAGACTCTTGTTCGCTCACCACTACGAGGGCAAGTCAATAAGTTCTTAGAAAATCTGTCATACTTTTTGACAAGTAGCATCTTTCATCTGATTACTATCAAATTTTGAGCGGAATTGATCGCATGATTTCATTTCTGTAGACGATTAATGCAAAATGGAAAAAAACAAGTTTCGTGCAGTCATCAAACATCTACATATGAAAGGTTTCATGTCGAAAGAAATCAAAGCCGAGTTGGATAATGTTCATAGCACATCTGCACCAGCGTTTGCGACTGTATACAATTGAGGGAATGAATTTAAACGTGGTCGTACATCCACATGTGATGCACCTCGTTCGGGACGTCCAATTGAGGCTGCTACGCCAGAAATCATCGATAAAGTCCACGATATTGTTTTGACTGATCGACGAGTGAAAGTGAGCGAACTTGTTGAGGCCACAGGCATATCACATGGCACAGTGATTTCAATTTTGCATGAACAATTGGGTATGAAAAAGCTATCGGCAAGATGGGTGCCGCGTTTGCTCACTATGGACCATAAGCGCGACCGTGTAATGATTTCAAAACAATGTTTGGAGATGTTTCAACATAATCCAGATGAATTTCTGCGTCGATTCATTACTGTGGACGAAACATGGATCCATTACTTCACATCTGAGACCAAGGAACAGTCAAAACAATGGAATTCACCAGGTGAACCAGCTCCGAAGAAGGCGAAGACCGTGAAGTCGGCCGGAAAGGCGATGGCCACAGTTTTTGGGATGCACGCGGTATAATTCATATCGATTACCTTCCGTCGAAGCAAACGATCAATGGCGATTACTACGCAGCCTTATTGGACCGTTTCAACAACATTTTAAAGAAAAAACGTCCCCATTTAACGAAGAAGAAAGTGCTCTTCCATCAAGACAATGCACGGTTACGTGCCAAATTCGATATGGCCAAATTCGACGAATTCCGCTACGAATTGCTTCCCCCAGCATATTCGATGATTTAGCTCCCTGCGACTATTTCCTGTTTCCAAACCTAAAGAAATGGTTCGGAGGAAAGAGATTCACCACCAGAGAGCATCATCGTCTAAACAGATTATTTTGAAGGGTTGGACAAATCATATTATTTGGCTTGAAAAAGTTGGAGAATCGTTGGATGTGTATCGAACTAAAAGGAGACTACTACTTTTTTTTTGAACTTTATATTTATGCGTATTTTAATTCTGTAAGAAGAATTTTGCAATCCATAAAGCCAGTTTGAAGATTTTCACTGCAATTTTTACTATATAATTCCTGTCACAACTATAGCATCTATTTAATTTATTCATTCTTTACTACGAAAAATTTCAAGAATAAATTAGCAACATATATGTATGTATATAAGTGCGCGTTTGTTTTTAACAAAATTTTCTTAAAAAATAAACAAACCTATTTTTAAGTCTTCTGTCAGTTTTCGTCCAATCATAGGGATAGTAGGAAAAAGTCTTAAAGTTTCTTTAATAATACAATCCAAGTAATGCATATGTTGTAGATCCTCGTATTTAACTGGTGCAAACTTCGGAGTTTCCGTGCCATAAATTTCCACCAATTCTCTATACGCTTTTTCCTGTAGGATACAGTTAAATAATATATTTGTATATACATATATATTTAACTAACGATCTGTCTTCAAATTTTTTGTGATCTGCTGGCTCATAACCGAAAATATATAATCATCCCAAACAACACGAAGTCGACTAAAAGTTGACTATAAGTTGACTATAAGTTGACTGGAGTAGTCGACTTTAAAGTCAGTCTGAATGTCAACTAATAGTCAACTAATACTTGATGAATGTCGACTGTGAATTGAAAGTCGACTTTAAGTCAACTGGAAACAGCCGACTGACAGTCGACTGTAAATCGGAAAACAGTCACTCGTATTGTGTGGGATATGTTTAAAAGAAATTAAGTGAAAACAGAGCAAATAGAAATCAGGTGCGATAATCGTTGCGCGAAATAATATACAAATGTAACACAAACTCTTTATTAAATTAACGTGTCTATATGTTTTGGCTCATTTTTGAGTCCTCTTCAAAAACATAAATTAATATATTATAAATACAATATATACATAATGACTAATTTGTCATAGTGAGCCTCCCTCCATTTTACTAAAAGAACTTTAATATTGGAATAAAACATAGATGAATGTTTAAAAATTATGACAAAAATTATCAGAGATGAATTACGGAAAAAAACATCTTTGAAGAATTTAAATCACAATAAAAGGAAAGTTGTTCACCACGCGAAACGACTTTCAGCCTATCTCTCCTGTGCTTCAGGAGCGCATGACTTTCCAAATAAAACGACTTTCAACCGATCTTGCTCACTGCCTAGGGATAAACGACTTTCCATGCGAAGCAACTTCCACCCCTACATAGTGCATGGAAGTCGTGCGCCTCTAAAGTAGGGAGGGAGGTGGGATGGAACTTGCTTCGCGCGTAGAAAATCATAAAATTTATTTTAAAGCCAAAAATTTCTGTTTTATATGTATAGTAAAAAAAACACATTATTTTCCAAACTTTTTTTGTTTATAACTTTTTAACGAGCGATGGCTAAAACTTGTTGGAGCTCACTTAGGGTCATGAGCTTGACAACATATGTCAAAAGGTTATGATTTTTTATGGTGCTAATCTGTTGTGAATATTTGCCGCTTTATTTTATTTTTATTATGTATAATATTATGTTTATTATGTATTTGTTAAGTAAAAAGTATTGTATATTGTTAAAAATAACAAAAAATATTTTTGAAAAAAAAGAAGGTCTGTGTATTGCATTATATATTATAATAATATTAATATATACATACTTGTATTTCTGAGAAATTTGCCATCATAATAATTACAAAATGCACCGTAGTAGCGGTAGTATCTGAAGACTATGTAATTAAAAACATAATTTATTATCCATTTATAAATAATTATATAAAAGATATCATTACATACCGCTCCTAGCATTGTAAATATATTGTCTATAATTTTCTTTTGCGTGAATTTTCCGTTATGAAATGAACGCATTAAAATGTCATAAAATCGTGTATCTATATTGCATACAGAAAACGATATGTGTATTACTTATGTAATATATAAATAATCAACTTTATATTATATTTTAATTTAAAAAATAATAAAATCATAAAGATTAAGTTAATAAGCTCAATTAAATAAAACAATAATAATGATAAAAAGGGACTAAGAGCCAACGCTAATCTTTTATTACTAATATCTATTGTCTTTCAAATTTTTAACAACATTTTTCTGAAATGATCACTTCATCAAATTTTCACAAAAACTTCTTAAGGATATCACCTAGAATATATCAAGAGATAAAAGCGATGCTAGCGTGTGCACATTGTCATCCAGCACGTTTCATGAATACGCTATCTTTAGTCGACATGAATTCGACACCCCCTTTTGGGGGATAAGGCCTATATAGAGGTACATTTCTTTCCTGGTTTTATTTGAACTCAGAGGGAGACCAAAAACAGCTCTTATTTCAATCCCTCTTTTATTAGACTTTTATTATGTTTTAATATTTTAATTTGCATTATATAAATTAGAATTTATGTTTAGTTATGCGATCAGTATTAAAAAGATCACTGTATAAGAATAAAACGTTTGTTGTTAAAAATTTGAAAAACAGTAAATATTAGCAATTAAAAATTAGCGTTGGCTTTTAGTCCCTTTCATTATTATTAAAGTATAATGAAAATTGCAAATCTTAATGTAAACTTTTAAATTTTTTAAATAATATAAATTTAACCGAATTTAACAAATGAGAAAACAGAGCGATTTACAAAGCGCAAGTGTAATGCTAATTCTACAATGAATCGACAGTCGGTAGTCTTATCGGTGAATCGGCGAAATTGGTCCACAGCCAACTTGTACGAATTAAGAGTGCAGACATAATAAAAGGAATAAAGAATTAGGAATAAGAAATAAGAAATTTCAATCTCAGAAATCGGATATATCGGAATTTTTTGACAGTTTCTGACAGAATGAAATTTCTTATTCTTTATTTCAAATTCTTTATTCTTTCTATTGTGTCTGCACTCTTAAGGTGCCTTTTGCTACTCAAACTGGCTACTCAAACTGTATCAACGACAAAAAAGACCAGATGATAACTTTTGTCGCAATATTAGAGCGACAAATTTATGTACGAAAAAAGGTAAGGAGCGTTGAATTTGACATATAATATTTGAGCGACAGATTTAACATCTTGTTTGTGTTTTTTATGTATTCTTCGCAGTGTTAACTCTCGCTGAATTAAACAATTATTAACAGTTAATCAGTTATTAGCTAGATATTTTATTATTAACTGCACCATAGAATATAAAGAATAGGAGACCGAACTAGGCTTTAAAAAGTATGGTCGAAATCAGGTTTTAATTTACATATTTAACGGATTCGTTTTCTCAAATAAAATACGTATATACAAATCCATTAATTTTGATCCATTAATTTTTAGGATTCTCTTAATACGAGTCTGTGAGGTGGAGTTTATGCCAAGAACAACAAAAAATTTTTCTTAAAATTTCAATTTCCAAATTTTTTCTTGTCGTCTTTGGTATATATTATAGCATATGCGTATATTTTAATCGTAAAAAAGGGATTTTTAAATCTGTAAAAGAGAAAAAAAGTAATTGTTATACAAAAATTACGATTTAGTCGGTAATACAGATGGAGTTAAGATCTCCTTAATCTGATTAAATTGATGCCACGATTGGATTTGGTTATATTTATCAATCTGTTTTATTACTTAATTTTGATAAAGTAAAAATGAATTTTGACATTTCTTATATTTAATTGTTGAGAAGGACTTCAAAATGCTCAAACTTAACCAATCATTAATTAATATGGTCACACATGATTCAATATATATAAAGGAAGACAATTTTTCTTTTTACTGCTACATTTGCGGTTTGTTAACCGCGTATTCTCATTTGTCTTGTTTGATTAAATGTATTGTTTGTTAAAAATTTATATAAAAATAAATAAAAGTGTTATTTTAACAGTAAAAGATAAATCAATCGTAAAATACAAGATAAAAATAGTTTTGTAATATTTTTTAAATTATAATTTTCAAAATAATATATTTTAGAAGTAATTTTAAATGTATTACAATTATTATAGCCCAAAAAGAATCACATAAAATATCGATATACTTACGAGATGTGTCATCATTAGTGAATGTCGTACTTGATTCATTTGTCCTTTGCTGCATCATCTATATATTAATAAAAATTGTACAGTATTAATAAAGAAAGTAATTAAGAATATTAATAATTATTCATACCTTTTTAATGATTGAATGAAAGGAATTTGAACACTTTTGCTGTTTACACCTCCAAGATGTAAGATTATATGTAATATTGGGAACCAAGAGTACATTTTGAAATCTAGATCGCCAAATTTGTCTTTGACTGAAAAACAGTTTTTAAAAAATAAATTTTTATATATGAGTGAGATATATTGCTACAATAGTATATTTAACATATTATGATTATTAACTTTCATAAATATAATTTTTAAAACATCTTTTTTCATTTACATTACAATCTCTATTTAGGAGATGTACAAGGTAAAAGTAATTCAAAATAACCTTATGTCCTTCAAGGGGTTCCTTACATTTTTAACCGTGTTCTGAGACGATTTTTGGTTTAATAAAAATTTGTTTTAATTTTCAAGTCACAAAAAATAGCGTATCATGAGCCAAATACAGAAGGTATAAAGCAGAAGCGGTACGATCACTGTTACATGCAGATATTACATAAGACACCCGTTAAGATCAATATAATGATATCCAACAATACATACATAAGTTTCTTACTTTTTTTCTTTTTTTCTAATTTAATTTAGAGGGGATTATTAACGTTACAGAATGATCGTGTTGAAACTGAAAGTTATCAGATCGCAATCACATTTGGAATAAATTAATTTAATGTAAGAATATATAGTATAATGTGTATTATTTAAAACATCCAACTTTGACCGATCATAGCTTTCTTTATCGTATTCAAATACTTAGTTACTTTCAAATACTCTTAACTGCCGTTACTCTAAAAATGTAACTGTGTTACCGTTAACATTACTCACAAGAAAATGTAACATCATTACCCATTTGTTATCGAAAAAAAAAGTAATTGTAATGGTAATGACGTTACAAATAACGTGTTACTTATCAATTCTACAGTAACATACCTAATCAATATTACAGCTCCACATTCAACAATGTAAAGCTTACGGTACACGATGCTTGTTTTCCTGCTAGATTCCTAGCTGGATTAGAATTTTGCAATCGTATTGGCTGTGGTACTGACTGTGTAGTCAGTACCACATCAGCATCGATTCAATGCTTCTTTTCTAAGTTATAAACATTTTTTATTTTATACTTATGTTTTATGTTTATATCTATATTTTATGCTTATATCTATATTTTTGAACACATAAGGACATATTTCATATAAAATTATGTTTATAAATATTTGTACATATATTTTTATGTATGTTATACGTATTTATACACGCATATTCATGCATGATTTTTTACCGGGTATTTGAAATATAAAATACAAATTGTATTTTAAATACAAATATTTGAAATGTGTGTCCAGCCTTGATTATATTTATATTGTTAAGAATGAAATTATAACATTCATGTTATGTTATTGTTAGTTGGTATTGACTGACTGATGTTGTAAGTTGCACTTTCAAATTTGACACTGAAAGGATTACGAAATGTGTTCATATAAATTGAAAAGTTTAGAATAAAATTACATACCTTGCACTTATTTTCCACCATTCATCTATTAAATTCCTTTCCACCTTGACACCCATCATGGTATCTTTACACACAGCAACATATAAAAGAAACTTTTGAATCAATATGTAGAATTTTTAGAAACAAAAAATACTTATTTGTTAACTAAATTCGAAAATGTTATAAAAATCGAGATAAAATCATTAATTGCTGAAAATCATAAAATGTTTTATAAGATTTGTATATACAAGGTGTCCGGTAAGTTTAACAAAGTGCTCTACATAAGATGCAGAACAAAGGTCGCAAGTGAAACGTATTTCAGATTATAATAAGTCGCAGATTGCAATACGCAAGACGCAGGACGCGTAAGTTGAAGTTCACCCAACTTTTTGCGTTCTGCGTTCTACAACTGTATTATAATTAAAATACATTAGGTTAGTTGGTTAGTTTCTATTTGATCGACCTGCGACCCGTGTTCTATATCTTATGTAGATCGGGCTTAATAGGTTGCAGGACGCAGAAAAGTTGATTCAATTTTCGCGCCCTGCGTCCTACGTATTGCGATCTGCGACCCGCGTTCTGCGTCTAATATAGATCGGGCTTTACTATTATAATTATACTGAAACACCTTCCATTTCTTTCAAGATACTTACTTATTGCAAATAAAATAATCTGTACATTATGATATTAAAAAAAATCATATCTCTATATTTATTACTCTTTCAACGCGTAAATGTATAACTGATTTTATTTTAAAGACATATCAAGAATAAAATTTATAAAATACTTTATATGACTATTTCTGTAATTAACCTGGGAAAAAAATGTTATAGAGTAGACCAAGGGAGTAAAGTGCCATTTTTAGCATTTTTTGCACTAAAACAAAGAATATTTAACTCACACAGATCATGCTGCTATTTATAAAAACTAGGGATCTTTGATTACAAAAGGCATGCAAAAAGTATGCGCATTATTATTTACCTTTCATTAAAAAGATATTATAAAATTTGCAGAGAAAGTCATTTGGCACTTTTTACCCCATATACGGAGGAAGAAATTCCACATAATAGATAAAAAAATCCAATACTTCTATATCAAGTTTAAACTATTCTAAAAGATTGAAATAGGTATTTACTAGTGAGTTTTTTATTATAAAGTACCTACATTAAGTGGGATTTTACTAAAAATGAAAATAAGAGGAATAATTTCCAATGGCCTTGATCTTGACAAAGGGTGATTCCGAATATTGACATTTAAGAAATTTTAACCATCGGTTGGACATCTTGGATAATGCTAATGCCGGCGGTACTCTATAACCTTCAAACATCATAATTCAAAAAATACTTAATGAAAATATATTTTCTTATAGTGTTTTGAAAAGCTCTCGACACCAGCTATTTGATTCTGCCATCAAAAATAGAGTATTCCATTAAAAAAAATCGATGAAACTTAACGACGCCACCCAAGGTCCAATCAATGGTGCTTTCTTCTGTTCTCCTCCGAACTATACAACTTTTTGTTAAAACATTTTTCCATATCTCCCATAGTTTTCGACAAATCTTAATGCATTATTTAAAATGGGACACCCTGTATATACCCTGTATAATTATTATATATACTTTTATATAATTATACATAATTTTCTGTAATTTTTTATATATATAATTATCTATAATTATATATATGAAACAT